ATATATATATATATATATATATATAATTTTGATGGGACTTTTAAAAAATATCACGCGGATAGATCAATAAGGAAAAATTGTAATGGGATTTGATCTTGGGCAAACCGCATATGAGTTACAATTGACAAAATTTATCGAGTCGAATTTTAATATATATAAAAAGAGAGATAATACATATGAAAATATGAAAGAGAATACTTGTTTGTTCATTTATGATTATATATACATACATGTGTACACATTATTAAAAATTTATAAAATTAAAACACAAAACTCTTCTATTTTTAAGATAAAGAAAGTAATTTATGCGGTTGAAGATTGAAGTTGGGGAAGCCTAATTAAGACCCGTAATTATGGGAACCAAGATGAGCCATAACGATAGCAACCTAAGCCTATCTTATAGCATTTGGTATCATATTTAGGATATTGTAGTAATTTAATTACTAAAGTTTGATTCTATCACCATTCACCAAGATGATCTCATTTATCATTAATGATTGAAACATTGTGTTATATTGAATGGTTGGTGATCTAAAATTAGGATACTTCAAAATTAGAATTGTGTACCTAAATAAAAACGTACACAACAGATTTCAACTACATATAAGTATTGAAAGAAATATTTATTGAGTAATGTCAGTCCATATATATACGAGTCTCGTATTAATTTGTATTACCAACAAACTTACTTTTAAGACCGTGGTAAACTTTGGGATGAAAAAATAAAATACATAATTAATGAAAGAATATTTGACATATATAGATGTATATGTATTATGATTAAAATTAATTAATACAAAATTATGAAAATTTCTATCAAACTTGACAATATAATCAAGACGAAGTTTGCGGAGATGAGGTTATACCGAACACTAATTAAGATATGAGAGCCGTAGGCACCTACGTGTCTTTAAACTTGGAACTTGTTTCTGGAAGGGGAAGGACATCCATGTTTGTCTCTCATCTAACCCCCTAAACGGTTAAACCCCAAAAGTCTACTTTTGAGGCGCAAACTTGGCCTATGGCTTTGCACGTTGCTTCTACACACCCTAGTTTGGTAAGCCCCAGTCATTCTTCTCTTCTCAAAATGCTTATTTCATGAGATAATCAGACTTATGTTATGTCTATAAATTTCTTGAAAACTCGGAATAATATAAGATTGAAATATTTTTTTTAAGAAAGTTTATTTTAAATGTTTGACGTGATTTTATGCATATATATGTGGCGTATTTTGATTTTTAAATACAAATTAAGATTCTGTGATTAAACATGGTTATTCACTCTCAAAAAAAATTACATAAGGTGATTAACATTTGAGAATTGGCATAAAATAGTTGATATATAGTTAGTTATGACATATGAGGTGACGGCATTGTAATTATAATTCGGGATAGTTGACCCATCCCCATCCCCATCCCCAGTCCTCAGCATCTTGGCTCGTCTTCCACGGGGTCTTCTGAGAATTGGGACACCTGCCTCATGTGCTCAACTCCTTTGCTTTTTCTTAGTTTTTGTCTTACAAGTTACAAATCCAAACCTCCGTTGGTTTTGTCTTTTTATTGTCCTAAAAACTCACATATTTTGTGAACCAATAACTCCTCTCTTGCTCTTGAGGAAAAATTTGGATGCATGTGATCGGGATGTGACGAGGCTTTGACCAATCACCCCTCCTACACGTTGCCTCCTTCCTTCTCCGCCACGACGACGACGGCGGCGCATCTCTTGTTCATGACCCTTTAATTAATTATGTACAAAATTGGGTAAATAAAAAACGGAAAGCAACGGTCACCGTTGGCGTGGATGAATTTGTAAAAGGCAAAGGAAGTTTGCCCGCGAGAATTTATGATATGTTTAGGGATGGCAAGTAATATTCTAGAATCTCTCAATATCCCCATCTGTTTTTCTAAGAAAAATGAAAAAGAGATGTTGGGAATTTAAAAGGGGAAATGCGCGTCCATGATCAAAAGTCAGTCATCCCATCCAAGTCTTCGTTCAAAGCTTCGGCTAATCACAGCTATATCCTGGCAACAGAGAAACCAAA